AGTAGGGGAGAGCGGGGTGACCCCTTGTGTCTCCGCAACCATAGACAAAATTGGTTACATGAATATACATTTTTGAAGAGTTTATCATTTTGCTCACTCTGTGGTGGAGAGAGGCCACTGTAATAAGTGATAAGCACATTTAAGATCAAAAAACTGTTTTTTGCAGCTCCAAGGGATTTTTTTAAGTTCAAGGAGTCCTGATTCTTGTGTCTTAACAATTGCAGACAGGTTTGAAAAAATGCATGTGTTAGTGCTTTAGGAATTTACAATAAGAGGCTATATTGTTAGCATGACGTTGCCCTTAAACAACTAGATGACAAAAATTTTGTTAAAATGGCAAGGAATTAGTTATTTTACATTACATTCTTATGCATCACCGAAATGATGTGACATTATGCATTTTAGACCAGAAACCATCATGTCATGCTTCTATAAATGAAAGACAGACAGGACTATTGTGGGTTTGGACAGAGCAGTGGGAGAGGTACAAAATGGAAAATCAGTTCATCAGGTGGCACGAGACATGACGATAAACAGGATGGCTTTAAAGCAATACATTTATATGAAACAACCAGGAGATATAACTGCAAGGTTTCACTACTTGATGCAATTAAATGTTGGGACCTGGCATTTGAGTTTGCATGATGAAATGACATTGATATCCTTGACCACCATGTGGCTCAACTTATCCTCTTCCTTGGGGTTAGTTGAGCGAAGAGTCCACTTTTTTTTAGAAAACCATATTTTGAAAACAGTTTATTTTAGATCTAAATCGATTATTCCCAGGCATTCACCACATGCTAAATTATATATACATATTTTAGTCGGAGACCTTACTGTCATGGCCTCACTTTGAAGACACATCAAGCAAAAACTCGCTCAACTCACCCCGCTCTCCCCTACTGACAAATACAAAGATGCCCTAATATTTATAATAAGTAGTTATCCCTTCACCCCTTGATTCAGAATTGTTATAACTATAACGCTCTCTACTACTCCGGAAAGCTTGAAGTCTTACAATGTTATGAGTCAAAATGGTGTAGTAGATCGCAGTTTATGTTGTCTGACATTTTACTGTGCTGAAAGGTCCTGATCTCATAAGGAGGAACAATCAAGTAGGTTGTTGACAGCATCCTGTCCAACCAAGTCACCAAGCTAATGTCTAATTAATTTATTTACTGGAACTTTACCAAATGAAATGGATGAATGTCATTCTGATGCCAAAGTCCCACCTGTTCACAACAACATCATTTGTGCTTGGAAATTAGATAAGGGCACTAGCCACAAAATTGTGTCACACTTACATTCTTTCTTTGGTCTTATCATCTCTGCAAAAGAACAGTGAATGGGCTCAAAACTTTGGGGTATTTGGTCACTATTTGGTTTTTTGACATTACATGGCCTTTGATTTTACACTGTATTAACTGTATGTGTGTATATATATATATATATATATATATATATATATATATATATATTGCACTTTTCTGTTCTGCTCTATTTCTGTTAATAGATAATTCTATTAAAAAATGTTTTTTTCATTAGTTTTTGCTCTATATTGACATTTCTTCCTCCCTGATCAGTTCCCTTTTCTTTGGTCTCTTGATGTCTTCCCCTGTGTCCTGATCTCTCCTACTCTGCTGTGGCTTAGTGACTAACCCTTTGAGAGTGTGCACAAGTGCTTGTGTAAGGGTGTGAATGTCTAGATCCCATGTGTGACTGATGTTGCCCTGCATAATGCTTCTGAAGCTCAGGCCTCCTGCTCTCCTCCCACTGCTCTAGCCTGGGGACATCTAGGCTTCTGCACTCACACACACTCACAGGTAGAGGCAAATATGAGATGATATGAGTCAATGCATGCATAGGGACCAGACAATAGATATTAAATGGAAAAATTATTATAATTACAGTGATGGTCCATATGGATAAAAAACAGTGTGATATAAGACATCTGTGTGAAAGATATCATCAAAGATACTTCATCTCAAGCACATAAAGTCAGTCATCAAAATCCTATTTTCTCAGGTTTTTAAAAATGTTCCTTATTGTATTTTTAAAAACCTTTTGTCATTTGATTTTTATAATTGTGATTATCATTTTACTACTTAATCTGCAAAGTATTATAACAAAACAAGTGCAAGATAAGTATTATTAGGAGCATGTTCATTCTTGACCTTGGAAACAGTAGTTTGATCCAGAAGATCCACTTACTGGCTTTTTCTGGAGATTTCAACCATGTCTTCTATTAATATTTAGCACACACAAACATACACTGATGGAGAAATGCAAAAATAGACAAAAAGGCATATTGAAGAAAAAGTGTGCAAGTGTGCTTCAAGTGCAGTCTTTGGTTGCACTCAATATCAGGAATGTCAGTTGTGAAAATCAGAGAATTTAAATTGCATTGGCAAGATATGAGCCCCTACTTGTCTTGAAATGTTTGAGAATAGCAGGATGATATACTGGTTGTAGTATGAACCAGAACCCATCTCAGCTCTGACAACTGTCTGTCTGGCCTTAGCTGTCTATCTTCTGGTGGTTGTCAAGCCATGTAGTCGCATTGACCTTTAGCTTGCTGTGTACTGTAAGCACCATGGGGAATAGCGCCCTCTGGGGTGGGACTATTTCACTGCATTGCATCTTCACTTTTGCCCTGACCAAGGACTAGATTGGCACCTCTGAAAAAGTGGTTTCTCCTGCATTGTGGGTTTTAGAGATGACGCAGTGCACACTAAATCTAAGCTGCAGGTTTACCTGGAGAAAGGTGCATGTGCGGCGTTTGGGAGGTGGGAAGGAGCAGCGTCATGAATTCTTGTTCACCTTTTTCCCCTCCCCTCTCCCTCCTCTCCCTCCATTCTCCCTCCCTCTTGCCCCTTCTCTTCCCCCTGTCTTCAGCTCTTGCACAGGATCACATTAATATTCCTTTGAAAGCTGTTTCAACTGCAGCCAGATCTCCCTCTTTTTCACTCTCACTCCTTTTCTCCCTCTTCTTGTCCCCCCATCTCCCTCTAGCTTTCTGATTCTTTTCCGAGCCATTGTTTTGTAGAAGGGATTTCTTTCCCACCATTTCTACTAACCGGTGCAGCAGGGAGGGGCAGTTTTATTACCTTCAGTGAGGAGTTCCCCGTGTTGCACACATGCACACACACATAAAGGGGTGGTGGGTACCGATGCCTTTGACAGAGCGTGTTGATTGGTTCAGAATGGTTGCTGCCTCTTGTAGGAGAGTGGAACGGCTATTTTTAGATCAAGGGGTAGCTGGGAGAGAAAGACTGAGGAGGGCTATGTGTGTGTGTGTGTGTGTGTGTGTGTGTGTGTGTGTGTGTGTGTGTGTGTGTGTGTGTGTGTGTGTGTGTGTGTGTGTGTGTGTGTAAGGCATACTGCAGTCTTGAAGGAAGTTCCCTCTTCACACACATATACACACACGCACACATGCACTTCTGCAGCAGTGCCCCTCTAAAGCCAGGGTGGTGTGTATTCCATGCGCTCCCCTTTTGCTCCCCCTCCCGAAATCTCTCTGTCTCTTGTTTTTCCCTCTCTTTCTCTCTTTCTGAGCTGGCTTGGTGTGCAAATGTCAGCACTCTCCCATTTATTTGCCAGAGCCCAGAGCAACGTCCTGCACCCTCTGTTTACCTCTGTCTCCACAGCTCTGCCCCACTGGCACTTTTTTTTCTCCTCATCTCCCTTCCCCTTCTTTCTCTCTTTAAAAAAAATCCCTCCATCCCTTTCATTCCCGCGTCTCCACCTCAATCTCACATTTTCTTCACCAATGGCCCTCCATCCTTTCACATCCCTTCCTCTGTAGCATTCCTTACCCTCACACCCACCCTTTACCATCGCACTTCCATTTTTTACACCAGTCTTGCTTCACCCATCCTCTCACACTATCCCTCCGCCCTTCCTCTCGTTCATGGATCATGGCACTTAATTGGAGTAACATCATGACATTTTCAGTCTGGTCCACAACTAGCGTGTCAAGTTTTTTGGATTAAATCCACTGCACACACCCCCCCCCTTCGTTTTGCATCTATTTTAAGACATGAGCGTGTCCGTTCACGTTTGGTCCCGTCAAATCATAAAACACCTTGTCCCTCTCTTCCTCCTCCTTGTCTGTCTCTTTCTGTCTCCTCTCGCTTTGTTTTTTTTTTCATTTTCCTCCCCCCATGTCCTCGTCTTTCTCCCTGTCTCACTGTATCCGTCACTCTATCCATCTGCGATCATCGTGATGACTCATGTGGCTCGCACCTGCTCTGCAGTCGAGGGTTCACCATGGTTTTATAAGGAGTGGCTGGAGACGCTGAAGGTGTGATCAAAAAGTGTGCAGGGTGAAGCTGGGGAGTGAGAAGTCAGTGTACACTTTAGTCCCACAGTGGCCATATTTGATTTGCAAACATGATGCAGAAGACAATGTAGCAGTTACACCAGACATCATTTTTATGTACAGGTAGACCTCCCTTATTTCAGTGAAAACTGTCAAAAGCACCTTATTCTCCCTAATTTACACACAATTTATGATAGTTTTTTTCGTCACATCACAGGGCTGAATGGTAGATCAAAAATGTAAGATTGAATACGGAAATGTTTCCAAAACAAGCACAGAACTACTCGGAGATGTGCTGGGATTGGAACTTTGGAGCTTTCATCATCTGTTCAATAAAAGATCTTTTTGGTGTATTTTGTCAATTCTTCATCTAAAGATCAGTCTCCCACCTTGAGTAATCACATGTGGGTAACCTTGACACAGCTTAGAAAATTACAAAATAGTAATTCACAGTCTTACAAAGTGAAAAGTGAGCTGACATGGGCATAAAAGATTTTGGGAAAGAAAAACATGTCAGTTTTTAGATAGCATGGTACCTTTTCCCTTGTAACCACACACAATTATGAGAAGGAATCATTTCATTTAACGAGCAATAGCAATTTGTGGTAAAGCCCTTCATGCGTTTCATTTTAGACCATTTTGTGTGCTAATTTAATTTTCTCCTGTCTCTCTCATCCAGTGAGTGACAGCTGTTTTCGAAACCTTGCAGAGGACCGCAGTGGCGTCAACCTCAAAGATCTTGTCCATGATCCCTCCCTGTGAGTATTGGCCTTTTCATAATAATTCAACTTCCAGAAATAGCAAAGAGAACATGAGGCAACACCTACATGCATACGATCGTATATTCCAGAGCTAAGTCCTTTAATTAAACTTAAATCTGCCACACTAACAGGAATTGCACAGACTATCTGCATGTGTGTGTGTGTGTGTGTGTGTGTGTGTGTGTGTGTGCGCTTGTGTGTGGAAGCTCTCTTCTTTTTGTGCAACTATGTGTAACTAAGAAACTAAAAATATCTCTTCAACACAACATGTCAGGCCTTTGTATCGCCCTATGGAGAGAAATTCCCAGCATGCATGGCAACAACAAAAGAGCTGCAGCACTCTTCTGTTTAAGGATGACTCTTGGTAGCTGCAAGAAGTCATTATTTGCTCAAAGAAGCTAAAGGAGGTGAAATCAACAGTTTTTTCCCTTAACAGGGACGTGATCAGTGACAAAAGATCATGGAAAACACACAGGAAACAATAATCTCCATTTCAATTGAACTTGTGTGCTATTGTGTATTACTATGAACTAAGTATCTCCTTGATCTCACTGTTCTAAATGTAAAAAAATATTTTGCACCTCTTCATAAAGGTGCTCTGTGTCAGGTTTTCTCAATGCTCATCTGGCTTATTTCTGGTGTAAATAAGTCCAACTAAAAAAATGAAGGTGACAATGAATGTTACTTTTGTGTAATGTAAATTCTTAAATTTAAAATCAAAGCAAGCATTTTTATGAGGAAAACAGTCTCACTATTCACTAAAACACGGATTACTTTGTTAAAGCAAGCATCTACCTATGTACTAAGAGACATTACATGTCCAAAAGTATGTGGACAGCTGGACAATACACCTTTATGTGATTGCCAAACATCTCTCTGGGAAGTCATTCCTCTAGATTTTTGGAACCTGGATGCAGGGCTTTGCTCCCATTCAGCCACAAGAGCATTTGTGAGGTTGGGTGATAGGGGCTGGATCACAGTTCCAGTTCATCCCAAAGGTGGGATTTGATTTGGTTGAGGTCATGGATCCATGCAGCAGGTTATTCCAAAATGGGAAAATCATTCGTTTATGTACAGGAAAGGATCTTTCCCACACTTTTGCCAAAAAGTTGAAAGCACACTATTGTCTAAAATGTTATGATGTAGCATTAAAAGTCACCTCAAATAAAACGGAGTGGCCTAGCCCAAAAAATAAAAAACTTCTCCAGAGGTGCAAAACTACATGTGTCCACATACTTTTGGCCATAAAATGTATACTGAATATTTCAACTGCAGCGGTCCATCTCAGAAAATAGGTTGTGTTTTATGTCAGATTAGATGTCACAAGATTTATCAAGGGATCTTTTATATCATTGCTCATGTCACACAAATACCAAAATGCCTCCTCAGCCTGTGATTCGGACACTACGAACTGTGACCCCAACATGCTGCTTCAGACACGCTTCTCTAGACATCCAAGTCATTCTCCATATAGTCATTGATTTGCTGAAGCTACCCAGCCCCTTCTGTCACACTATCACACCAGTCAGTATCACAGAGTGTCACCAGTCCCCCCGCTATGGGACCCTGAACTGTTCCATGCTTGTCATGTCCTTTACGGTATGTTTATTTTGAGGCTGCTGTGCAATGTATGTGTCAAGTCTGTGCGACGCAGAGAGGGAGTGTGAGGAGGCTTGTGCCATGTCATGTGCGTCACGCTAGACAGAGCACCAGAGAATGATTAGGGATCCATTGCACGGTTATTTTCACAGTATGCACACCAGGGACAATTTGTAGTTGTTTTGTATTATTTTGTTTGTGTATCTGTCCGTGCACACATGAACATGCTTTAATCCATGTATGTGTGTGTTTTCTGTGGCTTTTATACACAGGTCATGTTTAAATAACAGGGTCGAGCAAGGGACTGGCAGGTTTGTGCGTCTCATTCAGTTTCTTTCTTAAGCTAACATTGCTTAAATTGCCTTTGTATACACTGTATGCAACACTGAGCAACTAAGTTTGACTGACCATGGAAAGTGCATGACCATCCTGTTGCTATTATCTAGTGCTCTGAAACTTGAAAGATTTTAAACCAACCTAATAATTACATTTTAAAATTGCTTTAATGAATTAACTTACAGTAATTATCTTATTAGATATAATGTTGAAATGTTGAAACCAAACAGAAAAGCACAGCTCTGTTCTCATTTGTCTTGTCACTCTCCAAGCATAATTTTTAAAGACTTGTGAATAACAATATTTGGGCTTGTGTAAAGTTATCTTTATTTGCACTGATATTTGAGAAACGGTGTACATTTTGCCACTCTATGCAACATAGCATACACTGTAAAAGAAACAATGCTACCGAGATTACACTTCTGTCAACATAATGAGTTGAGAGAATGAGATAGAGAAAGAAAATCACACTAAACATTTCAGGAAACGTTCATTGACAACATATTAAATTTTTTATCCTACAATACCGGCTTATGGCAACTAAACCATGATTAACAGGTTTAATGTTTATGTTTAGGAGACTATAAATACTTAGATAGTCTTTGTTAAATATAGAAAATAAATCAACGTGACTTGAAGACAGAATGAGTTTGCTTTTGTAAACCTAACTCCAATCTAAGTACAATACCCTACACTTTGTACACCTACCACCCTCCCCGACCAACTTCCATTCACTTATGTGAGGTACAAGAATGTAACACTTCTTAAACAGCAAACAAAAATTGCCAATGATCATAATCTAAGCAGTGATTAAATTCCCTTTTGTAGTTTGGTAGTTCCAATTCAGCAGTATTTAAATGTGAGCACCAGCATTTAGAAGCTGGTGAAAATGTTTTGCAAAAAAAGGATGCTTTTGCTATAGGAAGAGCGCAACAAAAAACTTGTAGACTGGATTCCACTTTAATGTCAGCACTATAGTACTTTCACTATAGTAAAATTCCATTTATCAATAATTTTTCACTTTCCTGAAGGAGAAAATGTTCAATTAAATCACATCAGCTGGGTAACTAATAAAGAAATGTAATTGGATGTTGACAGTTGATATAAGGTTCAGTTGTGGCAAACTTATTTTGGTTGGCAAGTTTGTTGACCTAAGGCTTGTTGGTTAGTTCTCCTCTATAGGAAATATTTTTTGATGATGTTGCTCAGGGTGAATGGAAAGTTAGGGGCGCTGTGGTCCACTCACGCCACTAAAAAGTTGTTACTGTAAACACTTGTTACAACACATGTTAAACATGTAAAATGGCCATTCAGACAGGCCAGGTCAGTGTTAGTGTGCCTGTCTGCTCTGCTGTGCTGCGGTAATGGTAGCTGATGCAGACTGACCTCCTCTGGCCCGAGATCCTCCATGCCATGTTAATCCACGCCACACCACGAGTCAGCGGCTCCATCAGGTTGACCAGCCGGAACGCTGTGCCCTCAATGTGCCACTGCTGCTGTGACAGAGACACATAGACAGAGAGAGAGAGAAAGCGCGTGGGAAGGAAGGGAGGAGGGAAGAGGGAGGGAGTATGAGGCCACAGCAGGACATATAACATAAACTATAATCACACACACATCGGTGCATTCAATAAATCAGCCTGCCCTGTTTGGATTTCAGGAGCATCCAGAGGTGTGTCAGGTGGAGAGAAAAATTATATTTGGCAAAATAAAGAGAGAGTAGCAGAGGGGGTCATACAAATGATTCCCAGACTCAAGGACACACAGATGAGGCAAGGTTGGGCGTGTGTGTGTGTGTGTGTGTGTGTGTGTGTGTGTGTGTGTGTGTATTAGTCTTCTGTACGCATCTTTACCTTTCCAGAGTGAATGAGTACTTTTGTTTAGATTCATTTATCTTTGCATGTCATGAGTGTGTGTGTGTGTGTGTGTGTGTGTATGTGGGTGTAGGCTGAGCAAGCCTTCCTCCCGGTCTGTTGAGCAAACTCTTGCGCTGTAACAACCTTTGTCAATGTTACAAATTGTCGTGGCTAAGAATAGCTAGAAGTCAATCAGATGGGTGACAGTAGGCCCAATTTCACAGTCAAGGGACAAGGACACACACACAAGAACACACATACTGCTAGAGATCCAGCACCGTTAAGCACCGTAATAACTATAACACATTTTTACATAGATCGACTTTCTTGAAAATATACTATTAATACAATGTTTAATGCTAAGTTAAGAGATGTGATGATTGTGAGAGATCACAATCATGTTCTTCGAGTTGCTGGAATCAGTATTTTTATATTAACAATGGATCAAATGTCTATGTGCAGTTTGAAAGGTGTCACTCATTGTGATAAACCCACAGAGAATAATCACTCACCACACTCTGCAGCTATAAGAAGCGCATTAGCATCTTTCAGGTCGTTGTTTTGATTTACAGTTTGGAGTATTTAGCAGCTAAAGGGCCAGATATTTCCCTCAGGAGTTGAAGACCAAAACAGAGCAAAAAGTGGAGGGATTTACATTCATGTGGTGGACACTAATAACACTTCAAATGAATGCCAACATTGCTCATTATCTGTTAGATGTGTAAATTGAAGAGTTTGGTCCTCTCAACTTAAAAGGTGATAATATGGCAGTATTGTATACAGACTGTTTCCACTGCTCACAAGTGGCCAATATAATCAACGCTGCCTCTGACTGAACTGACAGTTCAGTAGTTTATTTTGGGTCTCTTCAATCTTTTTAAGATTAATAGCTTAGCAACCACCTTTATACAACAACAGATTTATTGTGTTATGATTATAAGCCAATAACAGTACATTGAGTCATCACCCCAAATGTCAGTCGTAAGGGAATCTCCAATGCAAAAAACTACAGTTATAGATGATTCAGTACACACAGTTCATCCTGAAGATTTGATGTTAAAGATGAATTTATACATGTGTTGTACATTTATATAAAAACATAAATAGCTTAACTTGCTTTGACTGACTTTGTGTGTGTTAAACACCTTTTTCTTACCTCCTGCAAGTTAAAACAAACATACTGTAAAACTTCATTTAAAAGCCTAG